GGCCTTGAGCAATGCCCTCCTGATGAAAGACCTCGATGACCTCAAGCACTATTTGGGGATGGAGATCACTAGTGATCGCCAGGCTCGCACCATCCCACTCCCCCAGGAGTTCTACATCAACAATGTGCTCAAGCGCTTTGAGATGGAGTTGTGCGCACCCATGGCCACCCTGTTGCCGCTACAACACCTCCTCACAGCTCCAGCTATGCCCACACCAGAGGCCTGCTTGTAGCCATACCCGGAGCTTGTACAGTCCCTCGTGTATGCCATGATGTGCACCCACCTTGACTTGGCATATCCTGTTAGTGTAGGGATGAGCACGAGGCGAACACGAACGTGTTCGCGTTGGCCTAGGCTCGAACAGGGTTGTTCGGCGAACCGAACACTGTTCAGTTCGCCGAACAGGTTTGGCCCAAAGGGGTGTTCGAAGTTCGCCTGGAGAGGCGAACATTTCGAACACAATGGCGAACACGAACGTGTTCGCCAGGAACACGTTCGTGTTCGCTCCAGAGGGCTAAACCCCTTCAACGGGGGAAACCCTAGTGTTATCCCGCTACATCAACTTATGCGCTCGGAGTAGAGGCTGGCTACGTTCTATTAATCAACTCGCCAAAACGCAAGAATTGAAGCATCTTCCACACTAGGCTAGTACTAGTAGGTGAGGGTGTGGCAGGTGGTAGTGGGTTGGGCGGACTGTTGGCAGCGACATGGTCGCGAAGCTCTAAAAAATGAGCCACAAGTGAATTGGCCGCAACCCTAAATTAGGTCGCGGCCAATTCGTCGACGAGCACCGAGGTGTTCGTCGATGTACCGCGTCGAACACGAACATGTTCGTGTTCGACGCGGCTCGGCACATCGACGCCGGCGAACATGAAACATGTTCGCACGAACAGCGAGCACGTTCGAGACGAACATTTTTGGGCAATAAAAAAACACGTTCTTTTCGTCTCGAACATGTTCGAGACGAACCGAATGGGTTTTCGGATATATGCTCATCCCTATGTCAGTGTCCTCTCTCGCTATGTGGCTCCTGGACGCTTTACTGACCTTCACTGGAAGGCGGCAAAGCAGGTGGTGCGCTATCTGCAGGACACCAAGTCTCATGTACTCACACTTGGTGGGCTTTCTCCTCCTCGACTGGAAGGTTACATTGACTCCTCCTGGGCCGATGACCAGACAGACCGACGCTCCTCCTAGGGCTACTGCTTCACCCTTAGGAGCGGAATTGTCAACTGGCGCTCCACCAGGTCGTCTGCAGTCTCCCTCTCCTCCTGTGAGGCAGAGCTTTACGCTGGCACCATGGCGGCTCAAGAGGCCCATTGGCTCACCTTTCTCCTCCAGGAGCTTGGCTACCCTTAGCCCACCCCCACTTCCCCCAGGACCTCATGTATCACACTCGCACGAAGCACCTCGAACTTCGCCACTTCTTCATTCGTGACCTTGTCCAGCGGGAGCAGCTGTACGTGGAGTACGTTGCATCTGACTGCAACTTGGCTGATCTGTTCACCAATCCCCTTAGGATATTTCCTCACCATCGTCTCCTTGGCGCCATGGGGCTCTGCTCTCCACCTTCTCTGCCCTGAGTTCGATTGACGTCTATGGGGGGGTGTTAGTGTTAGACCTCAAATCTCACTTTGTATTTAGTACTTTCTATTTCCTAGCGTAGTGTGGTTTTCACTTTGTGTTTGGTTGGGTGTACACCTACATCCCAACCAAACCCAAATGTGATCTCCAAGCAATCTCCAACCCACCAATTGGAGATTGCCTTGGGATTACCCCCAATCCCTAGAGATTGCCCCTGATTCCCTTCCCCATCCCTTCCTTGCCCATCTTGGATGTACTTAAAGAGCTTCGAGCTCATCACTAATGTATGGATTCTAAGTAGGCATGGGCATTAGCCCGACCCGACCCGACCCGACCCGACCCATTTAGGCCAACCCGAGGTCGAGTTCGGGTCGGGTCGGGTATACCCGACCCCGGGTATTTGGTCCAAGGATGTTGACCCGACCCGCCCATTACCTCTCGGGTATCTCTGACCCGGGGTCGGGTCGGGTATACCCAAGGCCGGGTCGGGTATACCTGAATACCCTTCTGTTAGTTTTATACATTCATTAAAAGGAGAAATATGTTTGTTCTGGACGGGTATCAAATACCCGACTTTGAACACCCGGGTCGGGTATCGGGTATTTTGTACCCGTCTGGGTCTTTTGCCCAAGCCTAATTCTAACAATAGGATGGTATGGCTGTAGTCTAGTTGATGCTGCGAGGGAGGATGCTTGCTCTGCAGGATAGATAGGGAACGCATGTAGTGTAGGGAAGATGTGCTGAGAGTGTTTTGTCCTTGTTAACCAAAAAAAAAAAAAAGGTAATTGGAGATTTTGTTAATATGGTACTCCCCCCCCCCCCCCTCTCTTCCCTGTCCAGAACAGTTTTTTTGGGCCATGCCCGGAAAAAATTGTAACCTGCCCGGCAGGCGTACTTTCAGCGTATTCCCTAACCACCCTGACAACGAATGGCATATCATACGGCAGCGTATATACGCTGACATATAATACGCCAGTCGCAATTTTTGCAACACAGAGGGGACATTCTGTTCAGTTTTCAGCATTGTAGATTGTCAGACCTGTTTGTGACGTCGTTTTGAACGGAGCGGTTTTAAGTCGTCAGTTTCTGTTTAGGCGATTTCATGGGCATCCGCGACCTCTAAGTGAACTTTCGACTATACCTAGACAAAGGAATTCCCAGCTGGACACATAACAAACCGCCATGGTCTGAACTGAATTCAGCCAATGCGTGCTGTACAATCCTCGTATTCCTTTCTGGCACGTAGTATTTCGTGACCGGCATGAACATTCTAGCTTTCCTCTTGGCATCTCACTCCTTGTTCCTCCATGCAGAAATCTCCATAACAACCAGCTCACTGATTCCATTCCTGCTGAGATTGGTAACATGACAAAACTAATAATTCTGTAAGCCTGTTGAACTCTCCTACTTGGTTCTCCCTGTTCATATGCTAGATGTGAGCATAAAGCAAATCGGGGTTTTTTTTTCAATGTTTTGGTTGGAGGCAAACTGGGATAGGGTCATAGCTGTGAATGTCATGCATTGCATGGACGAACTGTCTCAGCACATCGAACGGGCAGCGCTTCGACTGGGTCCTGTCCGCCTGTGCAATATTTAGGGAATTTCAAGTTCAGGTCAGGTCATTCTTTTGTATGTTCAAAACGAACCAGCACCATGCGCAGTTTGGGTGGACTCGATGTCAGCTTGGCCATCATAGCCAAACTGTTTGAGACATGTGTGGCACTCTGTGTTATCCCTCTGTTACTTCGAATGTGCCGTGTGTCTCCTCTGTGACAAATTGGTTCTTGCCCACATGGATAAAATATAACCAGATCGATTCGAGATAGAACAAGTTTGATTTGAACTGCCTTCTGACCCGACCAGTCGAACCGGTACAGTTTGACCCATAAGGAACGAACGAATCATGAAGCTGCGTGCTTACACACGTCCAAATCAGTTTGGCTCTGTCTGAAAAAGATCAGAACTGGTTCTGGTTCAGTTAAGCCTGGTAAAACATCGACAAACAAATTTAGACCCGAACGAGTTTGCTTCGAACTGGATCGAACTTAACTGACTGAACCTACCGTCGGTTCTATGCTCAACTTTACAAGGTTATAGAGCAGGTTGGGGTGAAACCCCAACTGATCCTAGGGCGTGTTCAGCCTATGGTTTTGGGTTTAGGGTTGTATTCTCTCCTTGTAATCCTCTCCTCTAACCCTATCTGTAGGCACAAGCAAGGTTAAAAAATACGCTAAATGTAAATTACGGCTCGTAAATTACGGTCGTAAATTACGGCTTGTAAATTTCTGTCGTAATTTACGGTGGTTTTACGGTGGTTTTTTACAGTGGTATTACGGTGGTTTTTACTGTCGTTTTTTTCATGGACTTTTCTTGCCGCATTTTTTTTCTTCCAGAAACTTAAAGAATGCTTACTACAACGATGACTAGGAAGGCAACAACAAACTACACTACAGAGGAACAAGCCTATAATGGACCACTACACCACTACCTTTGCTAAGCCTACCTAGGGGTGAGCAAAGAAACGAACACCTGTTCGGTTCGCCTCGAACACGTTCGAGGCGAACCGAACAGGTTTTGTTTTTTAGCTTAAATTGTTCGCCCGAACGTGTTCGAACACGTTCGTGTTAGTGGCGCTGCTGCAGAACGTCCCGTGTCGAACACGAACATGTTCGAGGTTCGCCCGAACATGCCTTCACAGGCGAACGGCGAACACCCTTTTTTGGGGAAGTCGTTCGGCGAACTGAACACTGTTCGGTTCGCCGAGCGGCCATGTTCGTGCAAGGGCGAACGCGAACATGTTCGCGTTCGCCCTTCGCTCACCCCTAAGCCTACCTAGTAGTACCTACCTTAAGGCTAAATGTGCTCTACTCCCTTCCCACACTACGCGGGAAAAAAACACACTCGCATGGATTTGGGCACACGAAACTTCTCACAAGCAGGGTGACGGTTGGGAAATGTCGAAATTCTCTAGACACAAACTCGGTTTCAAACGTCGGTAGTAATTTGCGACCGTATTTTTAAACCAACCTAATTTTGCAAGGTCGAACAGTTTTTTACCGTAATTTACGGTAAATTTTCAAAAACACGGTCGTATTTTTTAACCTTGGGCACAAGCAGATGGACGAACTTGGTTTGGCTCAAGTCGGGCCGAACTAGCAAATTTTGGCTTTTGATGGCTTGCCTGAAAGTCGAACCGGGTCAGTTTGTCCTGAGCCATGACCCAACGTGAAGTTTTCAAGTGAATCAAATACATGAATTGAGAAAGGACCGCTCACTTACGCAACCTGCTACAGTTGGGCAACACGTTCGCTCTTCCTGATTCTCTCGATCTATCCACTCCCTCCGATCTGATTCTCTTTTTCTTTCCTTTCCGTCGCTCCTCTAACATCCTTCCGTCTCACCACGATGGCCACCAGATCTCTCGCCTTCAACCAGCTGTATGGGAGCATACCAAGCACTCTCACCCAGCTCACGCAGCTGACACTCTTGTACGACCCACACATTACCTCACTCTTTTTCGCCGGCTCTGGCGGTTTCCCTCTCAATACCGTATTGGCGAAGCACTAACCAGTTTTTTTTTCTCTAAGCGCTTGTGTTTTTGCAATGACTGTTGTCTGCCAGCAAACCGCTTGTCGATCAAAGAGTTTGGGGTCACTTAGCTATGACGGAGTGAGGGTGCTGGATGCTAACTTGGGAGAAAGAATGCTGGCAGAACTTTGGTATTTGAGTCCCATCAGCCTATTTAGAGTCGCAAAAAATCCGTGCGAAAAAAAATCGTAGAGTTGATCTGTCAAGCCGGAAGTTTGCTCGTCGACGAGCCTGGTCCTGGCTTGTCGCAAGCGCTGTGCAGTGCCGACGAGCCGACGGCCGGCCGGCTCGACGAGTCAGCTCATCTCGAGCCTGACTAGCCTCTGAAAATTCCGGCTTGGCTCGCTGATTTGACGAGCCCTTGGCTCGGATTCCTGCTCATGCCTAGCTTGAGGTGAGCAGAAAGCGGAGCCAGTGCCCCTCTTTTTCACATTTTGGTTCAAGGCGAACTGGGTCAGGGTTCGATTAAAACTGGTTGATGTTCCAGTTGAATGGCATGCATTGCATCAAACTGGTTCAGCACGTCGAATGGGCAGCACTGCGACAGGGACTTATTCGGCTCTGGATCACCCTTGCGACTTGTAGGGAGTTTCAGGGCAGAATTGGAGTCCAAAATTTTTGTCGAATAGGTCTTTTGTATGGTCAAAACCGAACCAGCATGGCGCACATGTTTAATCGAAGTGATTTCAGCCTGACCATCAGATCCAAACTGTTTGAAACTGTTAGATTTAGCCCTCAATCTCATCTTTTGTATTTGCACTTTTTATATCATAGTTGAGTGTAGTGTTGTTTTATGTAGGTTGGGTATTTCACCAACATCCCGACCTTACCCAAATGTGATCGACAAAAATCTCCAACCCATCAATTGTTGGAGATTTCAGCCGACCTCATTGGGATTGCCCCCGATTCCCTCTGCACCCATCGTTTGCCCATTTCAGATGTACGTATGAGCCTTGAGCTCATTACCTAATGTATCCATTCTACCTCGAGTTCTTTCAGTGACATCCATGTCATTCTGGCCAAACCAAATGAAAGTAGGCATGCGCATAAAGGCCCGACGGCTCGACCCAAGCCGTCCCATGTTTTTCGTCGGGGCGGGTAATTTTTATGTCCAGCCGTAATATCATAGTTCCGTCACTCCTGTTGGTTCACATTCTTGTAGCACCTTGCCTCATCTTGTCCGTCTCTAAGGCATGATCATCTTCAATCATTATTCGCCCTTCATTGTTCCCTCAACCTCATTGCAGTCCTGCCTCTTCTTTTGTTCTGTCTTCTCTTGTATCCTTTCGCCTTCCCATAACCCTAGTGGTATTTTTTGTTTGGCATTATTTGTTTACTCAGAGACGTTTCAAGCAACCAGCTATCTGGCAGCATACCTGCTGCCATCAGCACACTCACCCAAATTTCTCACCTGTTAGTTACACTCTAATCTAGTGCAATTACAGCAGAAGTTTTCTCATGTTGAGCGTGAGCTAACAGCATAAGGGGGTGACGTGATACAGATGTATACGCATGCATGGATTCATTTGTGAAGCACCCATTTACACCCATTCATCCGTGTCTGAATGGATGGGTTGTGGTTCACATGTGGTTCAACTGGTGTGCCACATTCTTTTTCGATCGCAATCTCACCTCTTTCTCCTTACTTCCCTAGTTTCATAAACCATATCCAGCATTCCTCTCCTTCTCCTAGTTTATGATACTCGGGGTTCATCTTGATGGGTAAATCCTTCCGTCCTCCGTTGTGCTGCCCGTGGTAAAACCCCACCTGCTGGTCTGGTTCTTCGTACCTGCATTCTGCACAATGGCAGGTTGCTTGGGAGTAATCAGCTCACGGGTTCAATCCCTGTGGAAATTGGCTCTCTACTATCTCTGGCATCCCTGTAAGGCTTCTTTCTGCCACATAAGCATAAGTCTGGGCTGAGCCGGCTCGTTTTGAGCTGTGACAAGCTGGCGGGCTGAAAAGCCAAGCAGGAAACTCTGCTTGACGAGACAGACCTGCTGCTGCTGACCCGGCTCGTGGATCGTCAGTCGTTGGCAAGCTGGTCGAGCCAGTACGACTCGTCTCCAGCTTTTCCACGAGCTGTGCCAGAAGTGTCCGTCGCCATTTACCCACCAGATCCGCGTGGACAAGCCTTCACCGATGAGTAAACTACTCATCGACCTGACTGTCGGGACTTGACGAGCCCGGCTCGTGGAGCTAGGAGCCGAGCCGGCGGAGTAGTTACCATAAGGAACCGTTAAGTTGAGTGGAATTGGTCTGGAAATGAGCCTACTAATCCTTACTCCTCTGAACTTAACCTAAAAAGGTAGATCGAGGTCGAAATGACCTCCATCTATGCTTTCCATAGGAAATACATCCAACCAGCGCGACAAATGTCTCGCTGGTTTTTTCCGAACATCTAGTGTTCGGAATGGTGGGGAAACTTCCCGAACATGTTTGGTTTCCCCTTAGAACTTTCGAACACCGAACATGTTCGGGTCGAACCTCGAACATGTTCGGGCGAACATTATTCCCAAAAAAAGCAGGTCGAACATGTTCGACCCGAATGTGTTTGGGGTTTGGAAAAGTGCTCATGCCTAGGCCAGCGTGCAGCGTCAAAACGCTCCGTTTTGACGCTAGACACTGGACGGTCGTTTTGAAGTAGGACAGTCGTTAAAAACAATTTCGGGCAGCCTAAAATCGGAAAAAAAAAACCGGCAAAAAAAAAAAACACATTTCGGGAGTTCGCGCCGAAATCGCGACTCCATATTTTTTTTTCCAACAAGACACCACACTGAAAACCCACCCCTTTCCACCGCACTACTTCAACACCTACACTACATACCCAACCATAACACACACATTTAGCCCACTCCTCAACTTACTCGACTTCATTCTAGGGTTTCGACCAGCAAAATTCTCCCGAACCCTCAACTACCCTCTTACCTTCTCCCCCCCCCCCCCCCCCCCCGCCCCCCCCCGAGACCCACCCCCCCTGGTTTTTTTTGGCTGCCCGAAGGGTTTTTTGTCTGCCCGCCAGAGCGTAAAAAAACCACCGTCAAACTCTCAGAGGGTTCCGTCCAGCGTAAAAAACGTAGCGTCAAAACGCTAGCGTAAAAAACGCTGGCTCCGTCAATTCCAACTAAGGTCACCTCTTCTCTTCTCGTGCGTCTAACCCCCACACCACCAACAGCACTCTCTACTTCAACATGCTGACAGGATCTTTTCCCTCCTCCATCACGAAGCTCACTGCTCTTTCTTTCTTGTAAGCGGGTTCCAAGGTCTTGTTGAATGAACCGGCAAAGGATATCAATACTGAATGAAGATCCACAGCCTTGTTTTCATTTGTAGTAGAATAATTCTGGGATATGCAATCATTAAAACTATTGTGGGATGTGCTGGGCACACAAGAAAAACTCCAGGTGGGTAAAAAAACGTTTGAGAAGGGGGGGAGAGGGGGTTTCAGGTCATTGCTACCTCATTGTTCATGGATTATCCATGAAATCTCAAATAACACCAAAATCTCAAGCACATAGGTAAGTCTAGATCTAGGGTTTTTGAAAACGAATCAGGTCATATGGGAGAGAAACCTCTGAATGTTGACCTGGTTCTATATCATTCATTAGGTTCTGGTGGACATTGGGGTGGAGGGGGGAGGGGAGGGGAGAGGGGAAGATGCAATCCGGTATTGTGCGGTGGCGAGGGAAAACTGTTAGTCTAAGTACTATGCGGAAGCGTGTAAACTGAGCTTACAAACGTAAACTAGGCAACACTTAACGTCACTTGTGACCCTCTCCGAGTATGACAGCATGTCACCTCATAGCCAAGGGCGTAAGGAAACAAGCGAGTAGTTATGCCAAGCTTAGCTTGTAGCGTGAGAATTCTGGTCGAGCAGAGTTTCGACAACACCACGTTACGTTTCTACTCTCGTCAATACGTAGTAGTAGAATATGCACTTGAGAAATTCATGAAAGCATTGATTGATTGGAAAGCAAATACAAGCACACATATATGAAAGGTCCTAGGCACACAAAAGAATCACACAACGTAGTTGTCTAACTGTCGTCCAGGTCTTCGCTTTGTTGTCATTGAAAAACGGTTGTAAGGCTGCTTCAGAATTTGGCTTGATTTGCCTCTGTAGAATAACTGTCTTCAACCTGCACTGCTGCCAAATTCTTCTGCTCACTCTCCTCGCGAACATTCATGTTTACTCATGTGCGATCATGAACGCTCGTGCGAGATCCCTGTTTTTCGGTTACAAACGGACTTCACCGTTTTGTACCTCTGTCGAAATAATGACGCAAAGTAGTGCGACTTTCTGGCGAATTTTCCTGCTCGCCAAGTTAGTGCGAAAATTCAGTTAGTCAATCACGAAATCTCGCATGCCCCATGTGCCCCTCATCACGACCGAGATATTTCTCGGTCGTGCAGGACAAGACGATCGCTGACGCGATCGTGCGTTGTCCTGCGCGTGACGGAGCGATCAGATCGCTCCGTCTTGTATCGATTGTGCGCACTGTGCACGATCGAAACAGTAGCGACACACGCGTGGGCCCTGCGGGGCCACATGCGCATGTCAGGACCCTACACGCGGGTCCTGACTTCGCGCACTTTTCGGTTGACCAGCGCGAGGTGGTCTACGGGGCTGGTCAAAGAACCGAGCCCCACACCAAACACACTCAACATTCACAACCAGCACTCATGAAATGACTTGAGCTTTCATGAAACACAGAACTTTCATGAACGCACATGTTCGGCCATGAAAAAAAAACATGAACGTACATGAGCCGACATGAACGAACATGACTCGTCATGATCCGTCATGACTGATCATGATCCCACAGCAACAACACATGAAATGAAATGCGAAAACAAATGCACACAGAACACACACAAAATGCATAACGTCATGCAGGC